GACTCCTATCTCCAATAAACCACCAGAAAACTGGAAGTGGCGCTGTAGCTCAAGTGGTAGAGCGCGCCTTGAGCTGAAGAGCTGAAGGACAGTGCCCAGGCCCAGAGTTCAAGCCCCACGATCGACAAAAAAAAAAAAAAAAGAAGTACAGCTCTAAGCTGGGCGCTGGTTGGCTCAGGCCTGTAATCCTAGTTACTCAGGAGGCTAAGATCTGAGGATCACAGCTCAAAGCTCTGAGGATCACAGCTTAAAGCCAGTCCACGAAGTTGCAGCCTGGGGCAGTTAAATCTGGAGACTCTTATCTCCAATTAACCTCCAGAAAACTGGATGTGGGCGCAAAGTGGTAAAGTACTAGCCTTGAGCTAAAGAGCTCAGGGACTGTGTTCAGGCCCAGAGTTCAAACTCTACCACTGACAAAAAAAAGAAAGAAAGAAAGTAAATCTCTAGATTAGGAAACAATGAAAATAGAGTCATCACTAGTGGCGCTGTAGCTCAAGTAGTAGAGCGCTTGCCTTGAGTTGAAGAGCTGAGGGACAACGCCCAGGCCCAGAGTTCAAGCCCCACGACCGACAAAAAAAAAAACTATATAGAGCACTCAGCATCCACTCCTCTTGTGTGTGAGTTGTCTGTTTGCCATCTCCCCACCTATTCAAGTTCCTCCCCTAGGTGTCCTCCGTTGTCCCGACAGAACCCGGTCCGCGGCAATCACTAAAATAAACAGGAAGCTTAGAAAGCAAGAAGACTTAGAATGGTTTTATTTGTTAGTTCATTTTGTAAGTCGTGGAGCTTGAACTCTGTGCCTGGGTGCTGTCCCTAAGCTTTCCAGCTCAAAGCTAGCACTTTACCACTTGACCCACAGTGTTCCTTCTGGTTTTCTGGTGGTTACTTGGAGATAAGAGTCTTTTTTTTTTGGGTCGGTCATGGGGCCTGAACTCTGGGCCTGGGCACTGTTCTTCAGCTGTTTAGCTCAGACTAGTACTCTACCACTTGAGCCACAGCACCACTGCCGGCTTTTCTGCTTATATGGTGCTGAGGAATTGAACCCAGGGTCTCATGTATGCAAGGCAAGCAGTCTACCACTGAGCACTTTCCCAGCCCCAGAATAAGAATCTTATGGGGATGTTCCTGCCAAGGCTGGCTTTGAACTAAGATCCTCCGATCTCAGCCTCCTGAGTAGCTAGGATTAGAGGCATGAGCCACAAACACCCAGCTAGTATGGTTTGAACTTGGTGGATTCAAGCATAATCAAATAGAGCTAAGCCAAGGCCATTCTATGGTAGTGTCAAATGGAAGCAAAGATGCAGGGTGGGACAAGAAGTCAGAAAGATCTGTGTGAATCAATGCCTTATAATGAAGGTTTTATCACTAGAAAGCCATGTATTGTTCATTTGAGCCTCAAAATTAAAGTTATGGAAGAGCAGAATACTTTCAAGTTAAAAAAAAAAGTTAATCTTCAGAATTAATGCTATATACCCCAATCTGTTAACAGTAGAGTCAGGAAAATGCTGGTTCCTCACTCATGTCATTAAACTACTCAAAAGCTTCAAAAAGAAGGTGAAGTTCACAGCCCTTGGGGTTTTTTGGTTTGTTGTTCTGTTTTTTAGTCCTTGGCATAGAGGCAACAACTGAAGCCAGGAGAAGGCATGATTCTCTAAGAGTAAGAAAAAGAATTCCTAGCAGATACTCACAATGAATTAAAGTGGCAAGAGAGCCCAGTGAGAAACAGTAAGCTGACTGGAATACTCAAGAAGATAGGTGGGAAAAAAATCAGAACCAGGAAAGTGCAAAGTCAGGAAAGCCAAAAATGGAACAAGCACTGAGTGATCTTATATGCCCAAGGTAGAAGAGGAAGAGATGAATTAGTGATAACACATTAGATTAGATGGCTGAAATTTCTTTTAAAATTTAACTTTAGCTAGGGACCGGTGGCTCACACCTATAATCCTACTGGCTACTCAGGAGGCTGAGACCTGAGTATTGTGGTTCAAAGCCAGCCCAGGCAGTAAAGTCCATGAAACTTTTATCTCCAAATTAACCACCAAAAAGCCACTCTGGCCTTCAGCCCCCTAAAAAAGTTAGAGATAGTGTCCAAGCCCTGAGGTCAAGCCCCAGGAATGGTACCCCCCACCAAAAAAATTAACTTTTAAAACATTAAAGAAATAAAAAAAAAAAACTTTCCTTCAAAATGTTTAGCAGTATTCATTTGGTACACCCCTAAGGGAAACTGCATTTTACTTTTCAAATATTAAACTTTTATTTCACAAGTTACATTCACATAAAATAAGTGTGAAATATTTTATAGCACTGAAAATGACAAAGACTAAGAATATAAAGCATCTACTAATTTGTCTTATAAGAATACAGTTGGGGGCTGGGAAGGTGGCTCAGTGGTAGAGCACTTGCCTTGCATGCCTGAGGCCCTGGGTTCGATTCCTCAGCACCACGTAAGCAAAAAGAAAAAAGCCGGTAGTGGTGCTATGGCTCAAGTGGTAGAGTGCTAGCCTTGAGCTGAAGAGCTGAGGGACAGCACCCAGGCCCAGAGTTCAGGCCCCACAACCAGACCCCCCCCAAAAAAAGAATACAGTTGGGGCGGGCGCTGGTGGCTCACGCCTGTAATCCGAGCTACTAAGGAGGCTGAGATCTGAGGATCACGGTTCAAAGCCAGCCCGGGCAGGAAAGTCCATGAGACTCTTATCTCCAATAAACCACTAGAAAACTGGAAGTGGCACTGTGGCTCAAGTGGTAGAGTGCTTGCCTTGAGCTGAAGAGTTCAGGGACAGTGCCCAAACCCAGAGTTCAAGCCCCACAACCAGAAAAAAAAAAAATACAGTTGGCTCTTTTATTTTATTTCATTTGTGGTGCTAGGGACTGAGCCTAGGGCTTTATCCTTTACTACTGAACTACATCCCTCAGTCCCATGTGATGTTTTACAGCTCAAATATATTTCAACATAACTTGATCAGCTTTTTGTATCTCTTATTTGGCAAGAAAATGTTTACAGCTTGAACCTTCTCCTGGAGAGGCTTTTAGTAAAATAAACAATAGCTTGCTATATTGGTTGCTGTAATCTCTTTATGAATTCATGGGTTCAATAAGAAAAAATGTGCTATAAAAGTCAGTACACATATATTTAAAACAAAATTACATATGAGGTATGTTACTAAGTATTGATACATTTAATTTTACATAAAATGGCCAGCCTCCTGACTAAATATGTGATTCCTAGCTTTTGCTTTTTTTTTTTTTCCCAGTGGGGAAATTCAGGCTTTGACTGTGCAGGTGTTCTACCACTGAGCTACATCCCCTGGCCTGCAGCTTTTGTCTTTTTGTGTGTGATTTTGCATGTTATGTGTGTGTTGGCACTGGGCCTTGAACTCAGGGCCTGTGCACTGTCTCTCGGCTTTTTCACTCAAAAGTTAGGACTGTATCACTTGAGTGACAGCTCCACTTCTGGCTTTTTTGGTGGTTACCTGGAGGTAAGAGTCTCATGGATGTTCCTGCTTTGGCTGGCTTTGAACTATAGTTACAGATCTCATCCTAAGTAGCTAGGATTACAGGAGTGAGCCACCAGCACCCAGGGCAGGTTCCGTCTTCAGAGGTAGTTAGCACTCAAAGAAAAGTGAATTATATTTTATCCTTGTTCTAACATGACAGAAAGTATGTTTAACTAAAATCAGTCTTTATTAGTAATATTTGTGGAACACAGCACTGTCTTGGCACAAATCAAGTTTTAGAAAGAGCCTAGGAACTTTTACGTAACTTTTTACAAAAGCGCTGTTGATTGTTTTTGGTACTGGTTTGGGGATTTAATTCAGGTCCTCACACATGTTAAGCACATATTCTTATCACCCCATGCCTAAGTAAAAAAAATGTAATTGTCCATCGAAGGATTAAAATAAAATTTAAGACACAAATGAGCTAAGAATTTGCGACTGACCTTGTTCAAGCCTGAAGAGGGTCTTCTCCAGCTTTTCCATTTCGTTCAGTAGTAAGATTCGAATCTGTTTACTGTGTCCCATTTTGGCTTCTGGAGGGCTTGAACTCTTTGGGGAGAATTAGCAGAACGCCAACGTCGAATGAGTTGCTCCTATGGAACAAAAAGGAATTACAAAGAAAAAAAAAAAACAATAATTACAGTTACGCTCAAACTCTCCAGGGCTGAAAGAGAAACACTTACATGTTCCAGATAGGTGTGAACCCTAGCAGAGCACTAACAAAGAATGGCTTAAAAATAAGAGGCGAGAAGGGAAATGAATAGTTTTGTCTCCCTCCACTTGGAACCCAGCAAAGAAGGATGAAGCAAATATATATATACGTATGTATGTATGTATATATATATGTGTGTATGTATGTATATAGAATTGTCGATTCTTGCACTTAAGGCAGAATACAACTAAAGAAGCTAAGCCATTCCCAGAGACAAGCCAGGCATGTGGGAAAGCCTGGAGCTGGGGATGGGAAAATGCCCCAGTCTCATGCCAAATGGCCCGGCCGTCTGCAAGTGGCGTTTCTGCTTACAGAAGGTAACAGGTGGGAGATCGCCCCGTTCCCTAATTCGGGCGTGCGCCGCCCGCGGGCAGCCGCGGGCGCGGGGAAGCAGCTGTTGCCCCGGGAACGGACGTGGGGGACCCAGGGCGAGCTGGACACCGCCGGCGGGCCTTCCCTGCACTTACGACGGGCGGGCGGGACGCCGGCGCCGGAGACTGGACCCCGCAGCTCCGAGGGGCCCGCGGTGGCGAGCCGGGGTAGGCCGCCGACGCAGCCGCGGCCCCGGGGAGGGCTGGACGCCGCCGTGAAGGGCAAAAGGCGGGGCGGCGGCCCCGGACCCTCCCCGGCGGCGGGTGAGTGACAGGCAGGGCACATCCTCGAGACCCCGCCCAGCGCGGCCGCCGGAAGTAGGTCCCCCCCCTTTAAAGGACATGAACTGGTCCTCAGGCCCACTTCCGGGAGCTTCTCCGCTCGGGCTCGTAGACACCTCTAAGTCTCGCGAGAGTGCGGTGGTCGTGCCGTGGGTGCCAGCGTGGGAAGCCACGGCCGCTCCTCGTCGCCCGGAGCATCCGGGCATCCCGGGTGGTCCCGATGCAGTGTTAGTGATCCTGGGGGCGTGGGGCTGCTCGTTAGGATTGCTTTGTGGGTAGACTGAATGGCGGGAGGCTCGCGGCCTGGCTGCAGGACCTCTTCTGTGGCCGCTGTGAGGTCAGATCAGGGAAGATGGAATCGTGGGGTCTTTTTTGCACCGTTGCAGGCCGCAGCCAGCCAGCCGGGCGTGGCCAGGGCCTGCAGCCCGCAACCCACTCAACACGGCTGGGAGACAGGCCTGGGAGGGAAGACAGAACAAACGCCATATGGGCCCGTTCGGCCCCGGTGGAGGGCTGAATCGGGATGCCGTGATGACTGCAGACCAGCCTGGAGACAGGACAGCAACACGGAGACTCGGGTGGTCCGGGCCTCCACAGAGCCCAGCCAGGTGGCAGGGTCACAGGGCACTGACAGGCTCAGCAACCTATCAGCCAAGGGCCCGCCCCTGCCTCCAGGGATCCAGGTGTGCCCATCACCTGAGGGGGAGGGGGGCGTCACCTTCCCCCAAAGACTAGCCAACATCTGTATTTCTCGGAAGCAGAATCCTCCTAGCAAACCCGGAGCTAGACATTTGCATTTCAAAGGATGGCTTGTCTCACTTGTAGGGGTTGGGGCTGGGTGGAGGGACAGCTTCCCATCTCCTGCCTGGGCAACCAGGATGGCTGCAAGAAATTATTTAGGCTCAGCCACCTTACTTCATGCCAATATGCTTTTTTTTATTGTGAAAATACTGTACAGAGGGGTTACAATTACATGGGCAAGATAATGAGTACATCTCTTATCAAGCATTGTAGCCTCCTCCTTTGTTTCCCCTTCCCATCCCTTCTCATCCTTCCCCCCCCTGCTTTTTTACTTGTTATTGTTGTTTTTGTTTTGTGGTGTGCTGGTACTAGCTAGGGCTTGAACTCCCTGCACAACCTCCATTCCCATGCAAAAGGTTTTCTTCCTCCCCTCGCTGTTCTTCAATAAAAAGTCCTCTCCTGTAGAAGATCGTGTGTGATCTGTTTCCTTCCTTTCTCCTCCATTTTCCTAACACAATGTCCATTTGTGCCTGGCCAGACCTGAAGATTGTCTAAGACTAAGGTAGGGTGCATTCCAGGCCAGATATTTAAGACAGTGTAGAAGCCTAAGACAGTTTTATGCCTGAGGGAAAAGGATCCTCCCCATTTTTTTTTCAGGCTAGTTAAAGTACCTCAGCTAGTCCATAGAGTGGATGGAAAAAGGAGTGCAAAGGTTTGTTCTGTGAAGAAGGGTGAATTGAGAGCTGTTGTCTCATATCACAGAAAACAGGAACGACCATGGGCAAGTGAGAGAAATGCTCCAGGCAGAAGAAATAAGACTGAAAGAATCAGTCAGCATATAATGAATATTTATTAGAAAATGCACTGAGATATACAGATAAAGATGGCTGTATGTCTATTCAAAGCTCCTCAGAATGCTTGGCTGTGAATCAGTGGCGTGCGGGAATCTAAGCCAACATGTCTGCACACAAGTCCTGTTGAGGAATGAAACTTGTTGCCAGACTAGTGTAGAAATGTGCCTAGAGGATGGGGAGATCATGCTTGCTGGGTATTCCCTCCTTACAGGATGGATGGACAGATGGGATACAAGCTCACAGATACTCTTCCCACATTTACCAATCTTAGAGCAAAGAGAAGTTAGGGAGGGCACTGTTCAGGGAAGCATTCTGGGGGGATGGGGGAAAGTTAGGCTGGTGGCTCACTCCTGTAATCCTAACTACTCAGGAGGCTGAGATTTGAGGATTGAGGTTCAAAGCCAGCCCTGGCAGGTATATGAACTAACTCAGTTCCCCAAGCAAGTACTATTCTTTCTCCCTCTACCCCCACCTCACTTTTTGTTTCTTACCTGGGATTGAACTCAAGGTCTAGAGCCAAACCACCACTAATTGAAAGAAGGAAGAGAAGAAAGCTAAATCCCCAAAGCTAACTTGTTTACAGTTACATAACAAGTGGAAAGATGTGCCTTTGTTCAGTAAGCCCTGTAGCTGAGCTCACTGATGTCAACTTCCATGCTAGCTTGTAACAGTAAAGACTTTATACATCAACTCAGTGCTGCTGACTTTACAGTGAGTTTAAAGGGAGATTCTGGCTCTCCTGTGGCCCAGTTTCCTCAGGAGTTGGCCTTCAGGAAGCCTTTGCCCGCCTTGCCCTCCCTCCTCTGGGGCCTGGGCTCTGTGTTCTTCCCTGGGTGGCTTGTTGTATCAGGATGTGTGAAAAGTGCCTATTTCATTTTCTCCTTTGTCCTCTAGTGTCTTTGGGACAGGGAGTTTTCTGCATGGTAGTTACAAAATTGTTTACTCCACTTAGATACACTAACAGACATGTCTTATTCCTAGAAACATCTATAAGGCTGAGTAAGTAGCTCAGCATACTACATTTGCTTAATATGTATGAAGCCCTAGGTTCAATCCCCAGCACTGCAACAACAAAAGATTCCATCCCTTTACCATTAGCCACCTGCCAGGCAGGTACAGGGAAACAAAAGTAACTTTAGCCAAATAGGTTTTAAAATGAATTCTCACAGTATTAAATAATCTCTTTAACTTCATCTCTTTAGAAAAATTATTATTATGGTGCCTTTCTTTCCCTACTGCACTTAAGATGGTGCTCGGCTCCCCACAGAGCAGATTCTCACATGAAGATGCATGAACTGGACATAGTGGATGTCCAATATCACCAGATATACAACTATCTAGTTCTGTTCTTTGTTATTCTCTTGGCACAGATGATTATTGTCTGTAGCTGATAACTTCCTGACCATTCTTTCTTGGCTTCATTAGAGTCCAAATCCACTCCCCCTCCTCCCCATTCCTGTCTCAGCCTCTTTTTATTGTTGTTGTGTTGGTATTAGGACATGAATTTGGATCTCTCAAGTGAAAAAGCTGGCACTGTATAACTTGAGCCACGCCTCCACTTGGGCTTTTTTCTGACTAATTGGAGATGAGAACCTCTCAGACTTATCTCCCTGAACTGGCTCTGAACTGTGATCCTCAGATCTCAGCCTCTGAATAGTTAGGATTACAGGTGTGAGCCACCAGCACCTGGCTTCAGCCTCTCTTGAATTTCTACATTTAGTCAGAAGCCTCTGTGTATGAGAAATGTTCTCCATCCACCTCCTGAGTCAGAGTCTGCTCAACTTTGCCACAGTGGGTCCATGAAAAGTTTGCTGGTTCTGTCTGTATCTGATCTCCTTAATTTACCCCCCCCACACACACACCACCTTGGGATCCCTCTTTTTAGAGCCCCACACTCTTCTTTTGCCTCACATAGTGCTCTACACCCAAGAGTTCAGAACAAAAACGCCTCTGTACATTCAACAAATGCTGTCCCTATGATGTGCTGATTATTGTTTTGTGCCCTGGGCATAGAAAAATCCCTTGCTTGGAAGTGGCGCTGTAGCTCAAGTGGTAGAGCGCAAGCCTTCAACTGAAGTGCTGAGGGACAGCGCCCAGGCCCAGAGTTCAAGCCCCATGACCAAAAAAAAAAAAAGAAAAATCCCTTGCTCACATGGGCTTTATACTCTAATATTTCCCCCCAGCTGGTCACACTTGCAGGGCACATCAGCTTATTCCTTTTGCCTACCTTTCTCTAGCTTTTCTCATCTTCACAATGCCTCAAGCCCTTGTACTCACCCTGTAACAATCTAAGTTTCTTACTGAAGTAAGTCTGAGTGTCTGAGAGGAGGAATGAATGTCTGAATGGAGAAAAGTATTCTACATTCCAAAGGCAAATGACAAAGTACATTAATTTTGTTAAAACTACTAACTTCATTATACCAGGGTGGGAGCTTTCTTTCTTTTTTTCTTTCTTTTTCTTGGTTAGTCACAGGGCTTGAACTCCAGGCCTACGGGCTGTCCCTGAACTCTTCAGCTCAAGGCTAGTGCTCTACCACTTGAGCCATAGTGCCACTTCTGGTTTTCTGGTGGTTAATTGGAAATAACAGTCTCATTGACTTTCCTGCCCTGGCTGGCTTTGAACCTCAATCTTCAGATCTCAGCCTCCTGAGTAGTTAGGATTGCAGGCATGAGCCAACAGCACCCAGCAAGTTGGGGCTTTCTACTGCCTGGTTTAGTACCAGTCAATTACAGACATTCCTTAATGAGTTTTATTGTAAGAATGCATTGCAAGCTAGGCACTGGTGGCTCACACCTGTAATCCTAGCTACTCAGGAGGCTGAGATCTGAGGATCATGGTTCAAAGCCAGCCTGGGCAGAAAAGTCTGGGTGGCTCTTATCTCCAATTAACCACCAGAAAACCAAAAATGGCACTGTGACTCAAGTGGTAGAATACTTGCCTTGATCTGAAGAGTTTAGGGATAGCACCCAGGCCTCGAGTTCAAACCCTACGACTGACAAAAAAAAAAGAGAATGCATTGCAATATAATATTTGTACTTTTGTTTCTGGTTTAATGAGTAATTTAGTTAGGATAGCCTTTTTTATTTACTTATTTCCCTCCATGTTTCTTTTCTCACTCTTGTGTATTTTTTGAATGTATCTTGAAGCAAGGCTACCAGAACAGACATACATATTTCTTTATTTTTTCCCAAATTAAAAAAAAACAAACTCAAACTGGCATTTTGAATTGAAACCTTCTATACAAGTATTTAACATAATTTTTTAAATGGCAGGTATCTGTAACATCAAGTTTACCTGTTTTTTTCTTGGTGGGTCGTGGGGCTTGAACTCTGGGTCTGGGCGCTGTCCCTCAGCTCTTCAGCTCAAGGCGAGTGCTCTACCACTTGAGCTACAGCTCCATTTCCGGTTTTTCTGGTGGTTTATTGGAGATAGGAGTCTCAAGGTCTCTCCTGCCTGGGCTGGCTTTGAACCGCGATCCTCAGATCTCAGCCTCCTGAGTAGCTAGGATTACAGGCGTTAGCCACCAGCGCCCAGCAAGTTTACCTTGTTTTTGTTGTGTATTTTTAATCTCTTGTTTTTTTTACACATACAATCTCCAGATGTTTTTGTTTTGTAAGTGTGTGTGTGTGTGTTGCTGAAGATCAAATCCAAGGCCTCATTACATGTTAGGACAATTGTACTACTCAGCTCCATCCCCAGTCCCAGAACTACAAAATTGACACTCTAGAGCTGGAAGTCCTTGGCTCATACCTGGAATCCTAGCTACTCTGGAGGTCTGAGGATCTTGGTTCAAAGCCAGTACAGGCAGAAAAGCCTGTGAGACTCTTATCTTCAATGAACCACCAGAAAACTGGAAGTGGCACTGTGGCTCAAGTGGTAGGGCGCTAGCCTTGAGCTGAAGAGCTGAGGGATAGCGCCCAGGCCCAGACTTCAAGCCTCATGACTGACCAAACAACAACAACAAAAAAGTTGACACTGTGTACTCATTAAGTATAATTCTGCTCTTCCCTTCTCCACCTCATGGTAAGCTTATGGCCAGTGTGCCATTCATTGATTACATTGCATGCATGTACTGTCTGTCATCTTTGTTTAGAATAGCACCTGTCCATTAACTTTGATAAGTTTTTCAGTATCATTCTCAGCCATGGCTGGGAATGGACTTGATAGCTGGTGCCGTGGGCCCTTGTCCATTTTGGAAGGGTGGAAACAAGCAGATCTCGCAAAGCAAAGTAAGGGTGGTAAGCATCAGTGTGTGTCTGCCTCTCCTAATGGAATGATCATGGGAAGAGAAAGGGCTGTGTCTCCTGAACCTCCCGCACCTACAGCATGGCCTAGTGCAGAGCAAGTACTTTGCCTGCTGGGAGCGAATCAGAGAACAGCAGCATTTGCCTTGTCCTTTTTCCCCTGCCCTTGTCCAGGACAGAATGCACCAAACTCAGTAACTTCCGCAGACTGGTTTACTGTATAACAATTAAGTATGGGGCTGGGAAGGTGGCTCAATGGTAGAGTGCATGCCTTGCATGCCTGAGGCCCTGGGTTCGATTTCTCAGCACCACATAAGCAAAAAAAGAAAAAAGCTGGAAGTGGCCCTGTGGCTCAAGTAGTAGAGCGCTAGCCTTGAGCTGAAGAGCTGAGGGACAGTGCTCAGGCCCAGAGTTCAGGCCCCACGACCAGACCCCCCCAAAAAAAAATTAAGTATAATGTATAAATATGAAAGCATTTGAGTTTTACAAATAGTACAAAAACAGGCATTTATATTATTTGATTTTAAACTGAAAGATTTAGAATTTGGTATTAAGAAAGGACAGAATAAAAAGAAAGAATTCTGTTCTTCCTCCTTTCCTACCTCTTTCTTTCTTTCCTTTCTTCCTTCCTTCTTTCCTTCCTTCCTTCTTTTTTTTTTTTTTTTGTCGGTTGTGGGCCTGAACTCTGGGCCTGGGCACTGTCCCTCAGCTCTTCAGCTCAAGGCTAGCCCTCTACCACTTGAGCCACAGCGCCACTTCTGGCTTTTGCCTTTTTGCTTATGTGGTGCTGAGGAATCGAACCCAGGGCCTCATGCATGCAAGGCAAGCATTCTACCACTGAGCCACCTTCCCAGCCCCCCTTCCTTCCTTCTTTCACCATGTCATTCTTGTCTTCTTTTCAAAGCAACATAGACTCATTATTTATTTCTCAACAGTTAAGTTGACAGGCCTAGAGAAGATGCCTCTCTATAGTCATATAAAGCAATATAAGCTGGGTGCTAGTGGCTCACTCCTGTAATCCTAGCTATACTCAGGAAGCTGAGATTTGAGGATGGTGATTCAAAGCCATCCCAGGCAGGAAAGTCCATGAGAGTGTTATCTCCTATTAACCAAGAAGTCAGAAGTGAAGTTGTGGCTCAAGTGGTAGAGCACTAGCCTTGAGCAAAAAAGCCCAGGGACAGTGCCCAAGGCCCTGAGTTCAAGCCCCACAATGAGCATACACACACACACACACAAAGTAATATAGTGATGTCATTTATACAATAATGTAAAGCTGTAATTGGAAAATAAAGGCATTTTAATTGTTCAAAGTATGTTTTTTTTGCAGCTCATCACCATAGTACACTTTGAAAAGAGATGAAGAATAATGTATGAGTGTAACTGTATCTAGATTCACAGTTTGATGACTAGCACAACCTAACTTATGAGAGAACTTGCCAAAAGTATGTTACTGCCAGTCAAGTAAACTGGGAGGAAAGGTCAATGGTATAACCACAAAGGCCAATCTATTTTCATTGCCTAACGTTTAAAAAAAGCCCTCTTCTCAGTTTACTGTGACGGAAGGAGTCATTTTCTTGCTTACACGGTGGTAAAGTGGTTGTATATCTTGAATGTAACATAGTGGAAAATCAGCAAAACACTAAGCTAATCAGTACTTTGGAAAGTTTATTTCATGAACATAGGTTATATGTCTTGTCAAGGCAAATGATTGTTCCTTGATTACATGGAAAATACCAATAAAGTTTCAGTGGGATCCTGGTTCAAAAAGGGTAGAGCCCCAGCCTTAAGCACAAAAATACTGAAGGGCAGAGCCCAGGCTTTGAGTTTAAGTCTTAGTACTGGTATGTGTGTGTGCACAAAACCAGAAACTCTTCATCAGGAATAGAATGCACAGTGAGATACTACCAATGTTTCAGAAAATCTGAGAAATTTGTGCTAGACACAGTATGATGATATTATGTTTTAGGCAGACTTGGAGGGACAAGCTAGTTCATGAGAGACCTGTTTCCTGGGCAGGAAGTCAAGAAATAGACACAGGATGAGGAAAGCTTCAAGGGTGCTGAGATTTGTACCAAGATTCCTCCTTTCCCTCCCACCTCCACCTCCCCCAGGGAACTCACAGAAATCCCAGGGGATCAGCATGGAAATTCTGATCTTAACTTTACTGATGATGTTGTGTCTTCTACTGGTCAATAGTCTTGTGAAGAGCTAGCCCTCACTGCTCTCCTGCCATCTAAAGGCTCAGCCACAAATAACAATAACCTGTCAGTCTAGACTGATGAATAGTCCAGTTTGAGTAGCACTAAGGGTCTTCCTGCCTTACTCTCAGGCCTTCCTAAACCTCCATTTTAAGGGACCCTCTTATTCCTATTTTTCTAGGTTCTATAGACCATCAGAATAGTCCATTCAGTTGATCCTTGTGGTATATACACAATGGTATTTTTTCCTCATCTGTTAGAAAGAATGATATTGTACCATTTGTAAAGAAATGGGAAGACCTAGAAAAAAATATGTTAAATGAAGTAAGTCAGGCCCGGAGAGACAGAATGCATGTTTTCCCTTATGTGTGAAATCTAGATTTAGCTTATAAACTCATGAATAAATACATTGGGTGGCATGCAAATATATTAACTGAAATGCAGTAGATTCAAAGGAGAACTCAAATTGTGTAATTCCTTAGAAAGACAAAAACAACATTTTTTTTTTCGGTCATGGGGCTTGAATTCTGGGCGTGGGCGCTGTCCCTCAGCTCTTCAACTCAAGGCTAGTGCTCTACCACTTGAACCACAGTGCCACTTCTGGTTTTCTGAGTAGTTTATTGGAGATAAGAGTCTTATGGAGTTTCCTGCCAGGGTTGGCTTTGAACTGTGATCTTCTGATCTCAGCCTCCTGAGTAGCTAGGATTACAGGTGTGAGCCACAGACACCCGGCAAAGACAACATTTTGCAAAATAAAACAAGGAGAAAGGGGTAGACAAATGAAGAGAAGGGGCGAGAATGCAGTCAAGAATCCAATGTATATCCTACATAATTAAGAGTGAAGGATGGGTGAGAATGTTGAGTTGGGTGACATTGTGATACATGTTTTTTTTTTTTTGGTCCGGTCGTGGGGCCTGAACTCTGGGCCTGGGCACTGTCCCTCAGCTCTTCAGCTCAAGGCAAGCGCTCTACCACTGAGCCACCTTCCCAGCCCCATTATGATACATTATACTCATAAACTACTTGTATACCTTGTATAACTACTTAAAGTTAATTT